CTTCAGCTGTCGCGAGTGAGTCCTTAGCAGCCACCCATTGTCTCCATCGCAATTCTAATCAGGCGTGGTGCCGCCTACTGCCACCATTATGCGCCGCCTCATACTGCTGCCGAGAACGAAACGTGAAGCCGAAGGGAAACTGTTGAGGGCCGTAATGCACGACGTGTACACCGTGCGTGATCCGGGAGCCATCGTAATTGATCAGTAAGTCCAATCTCAATCTATTTCCTCTTCGTTTCCCTATTTGTTGCGTATATGGAGTTTTGACCGCCGACGGTGGTCACTGGTGGCCAAGGGTCGCCGCTGTTATGCCATTAATTGTCGTCTGCCACATGTGAGGCTAATTTGGTTATGTTGCGTGTTTATGGGTTTGCACAGTTAAAAATCAAAGAGACCGCCACCACCACCACTTCAAGGTGGTGGCTGCTACCTATTTCGTTTTTCTGCCACCATTGGCCGCCACCAGTCACCAGTGGTGGTGGCTGTGGGTGTGTGTATTCTATATGGGAGGTCATTTATGCACTTTTTAGACGGGAACCATCACCACCACCATAAGGAATGGTGGCTGTCGCCAGCCCACCGCCATGACCACCACTACCCGGGGTGGTAATGGGTGGTGCTTGGCATAGTGAACCCTAATTGGCCCAAATGCTTGATCTGGGCTTGATGGATGGCTATTGGGCTAAAAACCCTAATTTCTGGGCTTGTTGGATTGGGCCTATTGGGACCCGCATTTGGACCAGTGACTGAAGATATAACTCATGACAATTCTATTATATGATGTCTTAGTGGAACGATGGGCTTAATGTGTTAAGTCCTTAATGGACTAAGTTCTTAATGGGTCAAGTGAGAAACACTTAACCCTAATCGTCATTTTAAGTGAAAACCCTAATTTTTCTTGGGCCATCCAAGAGCAGTCATGTGAACCAAAATATTTAGATGGGCTTTAGGGTAAGGCCCATATGAGGGTTTGGGCCAAATTTGGAAAATTGGGCCATGAGTGGGCCTTGGTGGGCCTAATGGACTTGAGATATTATGGACCAGATTGGTGGACTATATTTAGACCTAATAATGTTAAGGTTGTTCTTAGAACCTAATGGGGTTATTTGTGGGTTTGACTTAGTGATAGAAGCCAGAGTGTAGCAGCAACATGTATAGGATCTGTTCGCCATTTGAGGTGAGTCTTCTCACTATACTTATCTGTGTTGTAATTTGTGTGTGACCGGAGGGTCTTATTCTTGTTGATGAACAGAGGGTCTTATTTGCACTATTGACCGGAGGGTCTTAGTATATTATGACCAGAGGGTCTCAGTACATATAGACCGGAGGGTCTTAGTACACTATCGACCGGAGGGTCTTATTTGTTTATTATGTGTTATCGTGCATATTGTCGTTGTGACTTATGTTGTTATGGTAATATGTGTACATATTGATTTTATGTGTTTATATGAGTATTGTGATGTCGTGCATTATGTCCATGTGAATTATGTTGTGTATTTATTATGAGTTTATAGAGTTAGGACCGAAGGGTCCACAGAGTTAGGACTGGAGGGTCCATAGAGTTAGGACCGGAGGGTCCATTAGAGTTATGGGATTGGAGGGTCCCACTGAGACACATTGACCGGAGGGTCTTACAGAGTTATAGCCTCGAGTGGCTAATGTGTATTTGTGGTATTTTGGGGAACTCACTAAGCTTTGTGCTTACCGTGTTATGTGTTATGTGTTTCAGGTACTTCTCAGGATCACGGGAAGGCGCTGAATTGATTGTACACACAAGATAAAGAGATATCTTTTTAGGATCCTGGATTATTAATCAAACAATTATGAAATTGTGTTTTGTTAAATTGATAATTGGGATTTTTGTGAACTGCATTATGAGAATTTTTGTAATTTAGAAATGAAAAATTTGTTCAAAAATTTACAGTGTTACAGTTCCAAGAACCACCGGTTTTGGTTCCGCTTCCGGACAATTCTTTTGTGTTTGATTTTATTAAAGGTTGAACTTTTATCTTCCATTGATCGGCACAACAGGGAGGTCGGAGCCATGCGAGACTATCAAGGCGCTCTAACTGTCATGGTTTGTTCATTCTCCTACTTTGTTTCCTTATTCCATTCTAATAATTTTTCAAAACCATTTCAAATTTTCCTAATGATTTTGCAGTTTATGCCATTAGGTTATCGTCTTCTGCTTCATGGCAAGATCTAAAAGTCAGTTTCGTTGACATTTTAGGTCTCATTGTGTTGTTTATGTGTTTCCTAATCCTATTTGGTGATATTGTTTTGGATCACATGCGCATATATGCTGATGTTTATTTTTTCTCTCAAGTTTTCCGCGACCGTGATTGTAAGTAAGTTGTATTTGATAATTGTCAACGAATGTTATTTCTTAACATTTTTTTCTTTGTTTTTGCGATTTATAACCAATTTGTTGTTTGGTTTTGTCACTTACAAGTCTTTTTTTTTTTTTTTTTTTTTTTTTTCCAGTTGTTGGAAATAAAAAGCAGATGTCGAAAATGTGGTTGCGTTGATGTAAGTTACTTACATTGAACGCTTACATTCATTTCATAATATTTTTTTATATACCACCCAAGTGGCCAAGTATGCCGTCATTTTTTAAAACTATAAATTCATACCTTTTAAATATGATTATAATAAAACAATTTTGCAGCTTCACGTTAATATCAATTATTTTTATCTTATCAATCTATTATTATAATTATCATATAAACAATACCATTTCTTACATTTAATCATTTCATAACTTTTCTCAGCATCATGGTTCTTCTGGAGCTTCTGAAATGGAAATGGAAATACTAAAACTAGACTGGAAAAGATCCATGCAAATGATCCAACAATAGAAAAAATTGTATCAAATTTTGAATCAGTTTTGTGTTGGTTAGCAATTGGGCTCTTCTAATTGGTTCTCATTTGGTGAGTAAGCACCTTAATACTAGACTTCAACCGTTTTAGGGAAAATTACACATTATCAACCTTTTACCTCAAAATCTATTATGAGTTTTTTTTATTTGGATAAAATATATTAATTCACTTTTCCTCTTCATTTCCGTCATTATTGACCTAAAAAAGCAGCTCCCAGGTTCGATTTTTCAGTTGGACATTTTTCAATGAGTTGGCATTTCACATGGCAAGTGAAATGGCCACATACGTGTGTAAAAGTGTCAAAAACCGTTGTTTTTAAGTATCCATAAGGATAGCACATGCTTATGTGGACATTAGATGCTACATCACAAAAATTATTCATGTAAGCAAATCAAAGTTGCTAACCGGTTTTCCTGTTGCTGTAATCGGAAATAAGAATGATTTGGGGCTGAGATTTTTTTTTTTTGAGAAGTTGACTTATGCAAAAAGTTAGAAAAGAATAAAATTTGGAGCAAGGATAAAATTAGAGAGGCACTTTTTTTTGAGAGGTTGACTTTGAAAAAAAGTGTTTTAACTATGAATGGTGAAAATTAAGTAGGAGAAAAGTGTCAACGTCTAATATGCGTTAAATATTATTACAAACTATTGAATTACAATTTTGGCTTTGCAGGAAAGTGACCGGGAAGAAACGTAAACAGGAGATGCTTTCACAAATTGAATGAGTTACCAAATTGGTGGGGTTTGAGTATTTGAATATAGTTGGAGAGAAACAACAATAACCTCTCAATAATGTAAGAAAAATAATCTTTATTGATGCATATAATGAAACTGCATGTTAGGGAGACCAGAAAGTATAAATTTTTTTCTTCTTTTTAACCAGAAAGTATAAATTTTTTTCTTCTTTTTAACTCTTCTTTTGAATGCCTCTGTATATCTTTAATGACTTAGATAAAAAAAAAATCACACATCTAGCCCCGCAACGCGGGGTTACCCACCTAGTTCCTATTAACTAAGATATTGCAATTAAGTTTTTTCAGGCCATTTAATTGTTTTGGGTTTATATTAAAATAAAGAAATAGATAACTTTTATTCGTTTCCTACCTTAACTAAGAATTTGCAATATCTTATTAGGTTTAAGCTAAAATAAATAAATATATAAGTAGTTTTTATTCGATTTTTTTGGGTAATTCGGTTTCAATATTAATAATCAGATCCATTCTAAAATCCAAAATATTAATTCTGTTTTAATCAAAACCAATCCAAAAATCCAAACTAAAAGGGTGTTTGGATAAGAAAAAAAATACCAGCTTATTGCTTATTGCTTATTCTCACCGCAATAAGCTAATTTAAGTGTTTGGATAAGATGCTTAAAAAATCAGCTTATTGTGGTGGGAATAAGTTAAATAAACTGATTTTAATAAGCAAGTGGGGTAATGCTTATTGCTTATTGCTTAATTTTAATGATTTCGAAAATTACATAAATACCCTTCAAACCAACGACACAAACCCATAACCCTCGTCGTTCAATCGTTCATCTATTGTCGTCGATAGCTATTCCCACTGCGCTGTCATCGCCGTTCTTGAGACAAAGCAGCCATCAATGATCAATCGGTAAGAAATCTGCTTCTTCCTTTATTTTTCTCTCCTGGTAACGAAATCGATCAAGCAAGCAGCCATGTATGTGTTTTTTTCCCTTTTCTGTGATCGATCAAGCAGTCGAAGTTCTTGACTGTTCATCTTTTTTCTTCATTCTTTGAATGTGGTTGTTATTAGCTATTCCCATTGCACTGCCCCTGTTATTGCAATGTTAATTGAACTGTGAATTGATGTAATTAGCCATGTAGTTTCTTTGTTTTTTTCCTTCTACATGCAGTGAATTGCACCTGTGATGTTTGATCTTAAATTTCCCTGACATGCTTCTATTTTTACTTCATTATTGTTGTGGTTATTTGTTCCACATGATTGTACTGATGTTTTTTTTTTTTTTTTTTTTTTTTTTTTTTTTTTTTGTATTTAAGAATTTTCTTCATACTTGTGGTTATTTTTTCTTCCTGTTTTGATTCAACATTACCTTGAATTTTCGAATTTTCTTCATTCCTTATGATGATGCAATATAGGTAATGGACACTATCAATGTTCATGATGTGGATATTGATACACCCAAAATGAAAGTTCCAAATAGGTTTCATTGGGATCCTCATACATTCAAGATATTTCTTGAGGAATGTATGACCGAGCTAAATAACGAGAATAGGACAGGTACTTATTTCAAACAAGCGGCGTGCCAAAATATATGTAAGAGGCTTTTGGAACGAACGGGTAAAGAGTTGGACAAAAATCAAATGAAAAACAAATGAGACATAATGCGGAAAGAGTTCAAATATTATGACTGTTTAACAAGACTAGAAACGGGAATTTCAACTGATCCCTCGAAAAATATAATCTCAGCATCAAAGGAATGGTGGGATGAAAAAATAAAGGTAATAATTAAAAAAATGTATCTAACAATATAGTATTTGTATTGTGTTTTCATGACATTTTCATTTTGTACATATAGGAAGATAAAGAGTATGCTAAGTTTAAGGATAAGAATTTGGAGGTGTATCATACATATTATGAGGCTTTATTTCGGGATACTGTAACTGTTGGAGACAAGGATAAGGTACCTTGGGAAATTGGCAGCGGTAGCACTCCGGTTGATGTACAGTATGTGGATATTACGGATGAAAAAATGGATACTGACGGAGTCCGCTTATTTGAAGATGTTGATCCTTTTCTCACATATGATAGTTCTAGTATGAAAAGGAAGGGAAAGAAGTTAACTCCCAGGCGTGACAACAAAAGAAAATTTGAAGGGAATAATGAAGGAAAAAATGAAGGGAAAAGTATGGCAAACTCGTCATATGAAGAGAAACTACACAATATTTTTGATGTTTTGTTAACAAGGAGCACTCAACCCTCTAGACAAACCATACAGTCACCCACAACAGAAGATTGCATGGCAATTGTCTCTACTTTCTCGGGTTTTGAAGAAGGGTCAATAGGATATTTAGAAGCGTTAGAGGTCTTTTTAAAGAAACTAGCTCGTCAGAATTTTATGGTTCCAAAAACTAATGAAACAAAGATGGAGTTTCTCAAGAGGCTTATAGAGAAAGATAAGTAGCTGAAGACTTTAAACAATCGTTAGAACTTTTGTGGTCAATTTTGCCCTTGTCCTATGACTTTGTTTTTGTTTCTTTTTCAATGATTTTATGTATTAGGAAGACTTTAAACGGTTTTCATGTGTTAGACCTATCCTTTCAACTATTATGTTACATTTAAACGGTTGTTTTGCGTTTGTTTCCTTTTCAATGATTTTATGCAATGTTGTTTGATATTTGTTTTGTGGTCAATTTTGCCCTTGTCATGATTTTGCCATGAAGTCATCTAGTATGTGATAAAATTCAATCTTACACTATTTTCCTTATCGTTTAGTAACATGTTATATTAATGGCTAGTGACTGTGAAAGTGATAGCTTATATGACAGTGATCACTTATGTGATGAAAATGAAGAAAATGAAGATATTTAAACACTTCTTTTATGTGGCCTTGCTGTCAAAGGCTTACTAATGACTCATAAATCGAAATATGTACGTAGACGTCGTCGTTCATCTTCACGCACAAGAAGCATGCTAATCAATGAAATACTTAACGATCATGAGGCCCGATGTTATCAACTTTTCAGATTAGAAGTCCCGGTTTTCAACATGTTATGTAGGGATCTTGTTGCACATTATAGGTTGAAGAAATCACGTCATGTATCTACTGAAGAGTCCCTTGGTATTTTCTTGTTATACTTAGCGCATGGATGTGGAAATAGGTTAGTTCAAGAGTTCTTTAATCATTCTGGGGAAACAATCCATAGACATTTTCATAAAGTCTTGGATGCTGTGGTTAACCTAAGTAAGGACATCATCAAACCAAATGCTAACTACAACGACACTATACCAGAATATATTTTAAATAACCGTCGGTATTATCCATACTTCAAGGTACTTATCTGTTGCAAAGTTATATTATTTGGTGAATTTGTGTAATAGTAAAAATAATTGGTAACTTATTATGTTATTTGAATTTGTAGGATTGTATTGGTGCCATCGATGGAACACACGTAAAGGCCTCTGTTCCGCAACGTGACCAAATCAAATACATTGGACGAAAGAATTGTGTTACTCAAAATATTATGGCAGCATGTGATTTCAACATGTGCTTTACCTTTGCGTGGGATGGATGGGAGGGGACTGCACATGACACGAGAATTTTCAATGAAGCGCGAAGGAGACGTGAAGTTAAGTTTCCACTTCCAGCCGATGGTTAGTATGCTTACTCATTAATAGAAGTTTTATATTTTCAAACCATATGAATGAATAACAATCTTTTTTTATTATTATTTCTACAGATAAGTATTACCTTGTAGATGCCGGATATCCTAATACAAAAGGTTATCTTGCTCCCTACAAAGGTTCAAACATCCTTTATCACATTCCTAATTTTCGATGTGGACAGACCCGTGCCTCGCGAGAACCAAAAGGATTCAAAGAAAAATTTAACTACTATCATTCGTCAATTTGTAATATAATTGAACGAACTTTTGGAGTCTGGAAGGCTCGATGGGTGTTACTAAGAGATATGCATGTAAATTTTAACTTCGCAACTCAAGTAAAAATTGTGCTAGCTTCAATGGCAATTCACAATTACATTAGAATGAGCGGTAGTGGTGATGCATCATTTCAAATAACGCAAAAAGAATCTTATATTCCGCGCAATGATGAAGGACCCGATGATGGTGTTGAGCCACATGATGAAGTATCAAGTATACAACGTAGAAGTGACGATATGTATATGAGTGCAGTACGCGATATGATTGCGGGACAAATATTCTCAAGGTCAAACACTCGTGCACGTAACGACGTATGATTTGTTTTGAAACGAATTTTATGGATAATATTTTGGATATTTGGATAATATGTTGGATATTTTGGATAATATGTTGGATAATATTTTGGATATTTGGATAATATGTTGGATATTGTGGTTTCATATAATTAAAAAAAATGTTTTTTATATAAAAAATGGTGTATAAATAAAATGGGAAATTGTTTTTTAGTTATTGTGAATAAAAAAACTATTATTATTGTTTAAAAAACAAAAATGTTTTGTTTGAATAAGAAAAATATGCTAAAATATAAGAGGAAGTCATTTTTGGTCATTTTAATAATAAGCTGTTTTGTTTGCCAAACACTTAAAAATGCTTATTGCTTATTGTTTATTCCCACTACAACAAGGTAATCCAAACACTTTTTAAAAAACTGCTTATTCCCACCACAATAAGCAATAAATAATAAGCTAATTAAGCTAAAAATGCATTTATCCAAACATCATCTAAATAGTTCAATCTGAATTCTCCGGTTGAATAATTCGGTTTTACCCAAACAATGAACACCCCTAAACTTTAGAAAAATCTTTCAAGCCAATCTATTTAAATAATTCAAACCTATTTTATTAAATACTATTAATTAATTAATTAGCTACTGAATAGATTGTTTTATTTAATCAACAAAATAAATAGTTTTATTTATTTGGTTTGTATTAAAACTAAATTTTATTTATTCATTCTATTTGGTAAATGGTAATTTATTATTTATAAATATATTATTTATATTCATATATTTTAGTAGTATGTGTGTTACCCATATATTTATTAGCACTAGAGTAACATTTTATTTTGTATACATTAGATCCTACAAGAGGGATGTCGACTTTCCATTTGAAGTGTTTAACGATCAATGCTTCAATAATGCATACATTTCCTCGATTGTATCAAATACTAGGCGAATGTCCGCGCGTTACGTAGTGGGATAATTATGTAGTTTAATATGGTTATATATAGTTTAATGTATTGTGAATAAGCCATACGTAAAACTTATATGCGATTAAATAACATGTATATTTTTTGATTTATAAATTTTTTATCATAATAAATAATGAAATTTTTTTACTATTAGTTTAAAATTTTAAATGTAATTTTTATGTACACATTAGTATCTAATGTAATTAGTTGATGATTAATTAGATAGGATTCTCATTTATTGTCGTCTATTTATGTTGAACCTCATAAAAATACATATTTAACGACTTTTGTTAGTTTTACTATTCAATATAAAATGGTGCCTTATTTTAAGTAAATATAAAAGATCTCATTCTTAATCTATTTTAAGATAGTGACATATTTTAAGTTAATATAAAAAATCATATTCTAGAACTAGTGAAAAGAAAAAACGGAGCCAAAAATTTTAACTATAATAAAGTTGATTTCAATTAAAAAGTGCTCAATCGAAGATAATATCATTCAATAAACATCATAAGATATTACGTTATATTCAAATTACATACATTATTTTTGTAAGAGTTATTCAAAATATATGAGATTATAGTGCCTAATACAACAATGTAATAACCAAATGATCCTAACATATTTTAAATGAAATATAATTATAATATATTATCTATGCAACTAATATGATATTCTTCTAATTTGTGGGATTCGTCTACTATATGGTATTCTTCTAATATATTATATTATAGTATAAACATTATATTTGGAAAACCACTTTGAGTTATATTGTAGTTTATAACATTAAATTTGTGATGGGCTGTATTTGATATACATTTGTGTATTTATTTCTATATTATATATTTAAAACAAATCTTATATAAACATCCAACCTAAATACTCATCTTCAATTTTTCTTTCTTCGCCACGTAAACAAACTTTTGTTATAAAACCAAAAATAGAATAAAAGACACTTAATTGTATGATCATAATATATTGTATTTTGATTGGGGCTTGTACAAAACATGCATGTGCATATATTATTAATTTATCTCTTGTTTTGGGTAATTCGAATAAGATAGCTTCAAATCCAACATATCAAACGGATTACCCATTTACTAAAGTCTAAAACCCAAAAACTCAAACATGTTCTAATGCCATAAAAATGCATGAGGTTTTAACAAATTATTATCTCATATGAATTACCATTGATTATGTGTGATTAATTATTAAGAAGGTGAAAATGTTTGAGGGTTTCAAATGCATGAGATTTTAATAAATTATTGTGGGGGTTTCAAATGCATGACAATCAAGGGAAAATACAAACTTTATAAGTATGTAAGATTTTAGTTAGACACTAGCCACCGTTGGCCCCAAAGTGCTGCTAATTATTTCTTGTCTCGTGATCGTCTTTGCCTTCATTTGAGGTTTGCTGCACAAATAAATTTTGAAAATAAAAATGTTGACAATATAAAAACATGAAATTTAACAAGTAACTTACAAGTCTAGCTTGATGTTATCATTTCTAATGATAAAATATTAATTTAAATGGATTTTCTAATATGTGCCATAAAGACACATATAAAAAGTATTAATTATGAAAAATATTACTATAACTAAATTCAAAATACATTTATTATATATTATTAATGAATTTCATATTTAATTATGGTAATATTCGTTACAATTAACGTATTTTACATTTAATTATTGTAATATTTGTCATTAAATAATACTTCTTATATGTGCTCTTAGGGTACATATTAGAAAATCTCTAATTTAAATTAGTTTTTTTTAACTATATGAAAAATAATATTGGCTTACAATGCTGGCATGTTGACGCCGTTGCTCCTCCAAATATCGCAGTATAAGAACTCTGGTAGCGATATTTCTCGATCTCAATGCAAGGACAACATGTCGTCAATAAAAATTGGAATCTTTTATAGAACTTTAAAATCCTCTCAGTGTCGATATGTTATTTTGAAAAAGTGGTCTAAATCGACAAATTACGATCCTTACTAATAGGGATGTCAACGGGGGTAAACGGGACGATGATTGCATCCCCCGCCCCCACCCCGAAAATTTTCTCGTTCCCCTGCCCCCGCCCCTGAAATATCCATCATTTCCACCCCCGCCCCGCCCCAGAATTCACCTTCTGCTCCCTGTTCCCCCGCCTCCGATTGATTTTGGGCTACTGTATTTGGGCTAAAAGAAGTTTTCGTTTGAGCTAAAAGAAACTATTTTTTTGGTAACAAATAGATATTTATAACATAATTTTATATGTTAGAAA